TTCCTGCTTTCCAGGTGGCTGGGTAGTTGGGGAGCTGGAGGCTGAGACTGGAGTCGCCTAGCTGCTGGTGTCGCTGCATAAAGATCACAACAGCTCAGGACTAAGACAGAGCCCCCCCTAAAGCTGTTTGCAGCATTTCAGGCTGGAAGTGCTTGGCAGGGGAGAAAGCAGCACAGTCCAGTCGGGGCACTCCGAGTCTTTCCCCAGAGGGGACATCAGATCCTAGCATCTTCACCAGCATCTCCTTGCTCTTTCACCCATCCCGAGCCCAGTTCATTCTGCTGTGACCCCAGCTTGCAGGCATCAGCGAGCCCAGGCAGTATGGTGTGCCAGCCTGCTAACAGCCCATGCCCCCCTGCAGTTCCTGGCCTTGGTGCCCTCTGAGGAGCGAATGGTTGGGAAGACAGCTCCCTCGTTCTCCTGTTGGTCAGGTTGTAAGTATTGGAGATTATGGAGTGATTGCAGGGAGGGGACAGGCAGAAGAGAGGGATGCAAATATTTTGTCATGAAAACAGGAAATGTAATTAAAGCCCACATGTTTATGAAGTGGGGGGGGGGGGGGGGGCTGGATTAGATGGATTTCTGGCTGGAGTGTCATTGGTGTTGGCAATTAGGCAGTTTGCATCATGCTAAGAAATTAGGAAGCTGACTCTGGAAGGGAGCATGAGAGATGGAGGCATTGCTTAGCTGGGCGGGGGGCGCTGGATAGAGGGTCCTGGAGCGTGTAATGCATTGGGAAGGTTCTGCTTTCTTCCTGGCCGTGCGGGGAGAAGAGGAGGCAGGGTAGATTTACACCATAGAATAAGGGTTCAGGAACGTGGTCCAGTCTTTGCCTCCATGCATCTCGTGTAGCTCGGCCCTGTCAGTAACTGCGTGAAGCGAGTTTGCTGCATCTGAGCCCAGTTTCTACTGAACAAGTTTCCTGACAGCACAAAAAGACTAGTCAGGTTTGTCCCCCTTCTTCCAGATTTTGACAGAGAGTTACCTCCTTACCCCCCTGCAGCAAGGTTGCCTGTGCTGCCCCTGCTCCGTGGATGGCAAGTCGCACTCTCCAGGACAGTCACTGGTACTTATGTGTGTGTAAAAGAACGAAAGCTGGCTGAAACCAACTGCAGCCAAGTGGGGAAGATCTTGCCTTTCTGGGACCTCAGCTCCTCAAAGGCAGGTGAGTGTGAGGTGGTAGCAGTAACAGACCCAGGCCCCTGCAGTCCTGCTAATCTCTCTCTTTGGAAATGTGTGAAATTGCTAATCAGGGTCAGGGCTCTGGCAGCTTCAGCTGCCTCTAATAAGAAATTTAACACTCGGGTTATTCCCTGAGGTCGGGAGACAACAAGATTAGGGGCCCTGTTGCTCTGACAGGCTGATAAATGTCACCAGCAGGCAGAAGGGAAGATCTAATAGGTTTAGATCAGACTTACCACCCCATGTAATAGTGAGGTCTGCGCCAAGGGCAGAGGCAGGAACAAGGGAGGGGAGATGGGGTTTCCTTTGCTTGCATCAAGGTGCTGGATTGGAGCCTTTTTAGAGGAGCTCAGTACATTTAACTGAGCCGGGTCAAGAGTGCTAATGAGAGAAGGGAGTTTCATCTACCTAGTTCTGCTGATGGTCCTAAATCCAAGTCTGGACATGGCTCCCCTCAGCCCCCAGCCATTCCAGCCTTGGGGCCCTCGCAGGCACCTCTGATTCCCCTCGACTCAGCCTCAGTTTCACAGAGGCCCAGTCGTGCTCACGGTGCTCTGCAGCCATCCGCGGGACTGATCTGCGATGACGCTGTTATTAACCACTGAAACCTTGGACTTCCTATGGCTGTGCCCGCATCTCGTCGCACTGGAGCTTGAGCAGAGGAGGGAAGGGAATTGGCCGCTGTGCTTGCACTTTGTGGGAGTTGGAGGCTTATGTGGGGGGAGAGAGAGAGTACCCGAGCAATGTGAACGTGGGGGGAGGCGAGTGAGGGAGAAGCAGGAGCAGGGTCTGAGAGGCTGGTCCGGGGTGTGCACGGGAAGCCTGGGTGAGGTGAGGGTGGAAGAAGGACAGGGCTGCAACTGGGCACGTGGCTGGTGCAGAAGGGCCCTGAGTCAGAAAGCAGCTTGGGCCATGTGCTGAATGGTAATACAGCTGAAGGGTGCTGAGAGGTGCGACCGCTCCAGCCCTGGACATTGAGTTTGGCAGGGGGTGAGGCCAGCCCCTGACGGGTAGGGACGGGGGCTGCACTTGGCGCACAGCTTCCTTTGGCCAGCAGAGCAGGGCAGCTGGGGGGATGGAGACACCAGCCAGCCCTCCCAGGCTGGAGAGGCTATGCAGAAATCTTCCCGTTGTTTCATGCAGGGTGCCAGCCTGTTTGCTCCAGGGCTTCCAGTGTGGCTGGCCGGCTCCCAAGGAAACTGCCACTGTAGAAGTAGCTCCCCAGCACTAGCAAGAAACTGCTGTCTTGTGGGGAAGGGGGTGACGGGAGGTTGCAGGAAGCGGGGCAGCGCTGAGAGACAACGCTGGGAGAAGGCTCAGACCTGAGCAAGGGTGTCAGCGCTGCTCTTGTTCAAGGACTCGGCAGAGCTCAAGAAACCTTCACCCATCCCTGAAACATAGTTGAAATTCCCTGTGGTGGAGCACTGCGCCCACATCCAGGTAGCAACGCTGTCCAGCGGTGTCGGGCAGGAAGCGGAGAAGTATCCAAGTGTGGCTGGAACCGCGCAGGGAATTTAGGAAGAGACAAAGAGGTTGTTTGTGTTGGAACGTGGTCAGGACTCTGACTCCCACAGAGACGTCTCGTGGAATTCCTCGTGGCTGATCTGCCGCGTAGCATCAAGGGCCTGCAACGCCATTGACACCTGGTAGGGTGGTGGCCTGGCTCAGAGCTAGCAGTGCGTGCCTGGGACCCATCTGCCTGTGCATTCACTCCCACAATGAGGGGACGGTGATTTTCAGCCAACAAAGTGCTGCTAGATATAATTAGATCTGCCCAAGCCCTATTGCCATGGCTGTCTGAGAAGTGGCTTACCCAGGTTCTCTTGGACCTGGGAGCTGAACCCCTTAGTGTCTGACTCCTCTGCCCATGCTCTAATTCATTGCGCTGCATTGCTGCTTTTCTCTCTCTTCCTTTTGGTATCTTGATACTTAAAGGAAGTTTTTCTGCTCTCCTAACTCCAGGTCTTTGCAGCAGTCAAGGGACTGTTGCCAAACTCTCTACATTGGTTTGACAGTACTGCTCAAAAGCAGATGGTTGCTAATTAAAGGGGATTGAGCAAGTAGGTTGTATGTGCCTTGGCACTCTTATTCTGAAGAAGAAAAGCTCTACTAGCCTTGGAAGAAGGATCCCTCCTCTGTCTGCTGGCCTGTGGTTGAGGTCCAGGATGCTCTGAAGACGGAACGTCTCTAAAGGAGCAAGCTCAGGACCTGTGCTAAGAGCCCAGCCTACCGGCACTGGAGCCCGTGGAAGAGGTTACAGGAGGGGAAGCTGAAAAACCAGGAGGAGTTTCGTCTCGTAGTGGAGGAGTGGAGACCTGTCCCCGGTGTCTTCCAGGACTCGTGCAAATAAGCCTTTGGGACATTCTCTCTCCCAGCAGCCCATCGGTTCAGGCTAAGTCATCCCCTGCTTGGGCACCTGGAGCTCTTCTGTGCTCCTTACGGAGCCGCAGCTCTCAAACAGAAGAGCACTTTAGCTGCAGCCAGTACTGGACCTTTGGCACACGGTCTGGGTTGCTTCTTGTGCCCTTTCAAAAAGGCGCTGAGAGCTGGCTGGTGGGGAGGGGCAGGGCAAGCACACTGTGTTTCTGTCTTTTTGGCTGTAGGAACCAAGTGTTCTTGAAAGCAATCTCGACAGATGCACTGTCAACACTTAACGATCCAGCCTCATGTGGAAACTGCATGGGAAAATGTATCGCCAGGAGTACATGCCTCCTACTCAAGAAGTCTGCAGCGTTACCTCAGCTAACATCCAGGGGCCTGACCTCCCCAGGCTCCCTCTGCCGACCCCTGGATGTTCTGCCAAACTGTGCTGTTGCCTAATAACTGATTTCCCAAGGCTTGGACCGGCCCCAGGCAGTGAGCTAATGGAAAGTTACTGATACTGCCTTCCCACTACAGCTCTTCTGCTCATGTGTAGTATCATCGGGCACAGCCTGTTGCCTTAGTGGGTCAGTTGCGTGATCCGCAAATCTTCCTCTCCGTGGCAGTGGGTGCTTTTTCATTTCCTGTACAGCACTGGCCCAGACTTGTCTCAGGGCAACTGCTCTAGTCTGCTGTGATCTCTCGGCATGCCCCTCTGCCCCAAGCACTGGCACCAGATGCAGCAGTAGGAACAAAAGCACTGGTGATGCCAGGAGGTGATTTCTGTGTCGGGCTGAATTGCACTCATGCTTTATGTAGCCTTTCACCCATGTGGAACTTGGAGCCCTTTGTTCTGGGCAAACCCCACAGAAGATGCACCAGCAGATGCATGACAAATAGATCCAAGGAGGTGACACTTCCCTCTATGCGGCGCTGGTCAGACCGCAGTTGGAGCTCTGCATCCAGATTTGGGCGCCGCACTTCAAGAAGGATGTTGATAGACTTGAGAGGGTCCAGCGGAGGCCACTCGTATGGTTAGGGGCTTACAAGGCAAGCCCTATGAGGAGAGACTGAGCGACCTGGACCTCTTCAGCCTCCGCAAGAGAAGACTGAGAGGTGATCCTGTGGCCACCTACAAATTCATTGTGGGGGGGCGCAGCAAGGGATTGGAGGTGCGCTGTTCACCAGGCGCCTCTTGGGGTAACAAGGAACGATGGTCACAAACTGACAGAGAGCAGATTTAGGCTGGATATCAGGAAAAACTATCTCATGGTAAGGGTGGCCAAAATTTGGAAAGGGCTTCCACGGGAAGTGGTGCCCCCCCACCCCCCCCACCCCGCCTTGGGGGTCTGTAAGAGAAGGCTGGATGGGCACCTGGCTGGGGTCGTCTGACCCAGCGCTCTTTCCTGCCCAGGCAGGGGAGCAGACTCGATGAGCTGTTAAGGTCCCTTCCCACCCGAGCATCTATGAATCTGTCAAAACACAGGGCCAAGGGAGCTACCACTAAAAACGCAGCTGCATCAGAGAAGGAGCACAGGAGCAGGGGATTGCACATTGAAGGACCAAGGACAGTGCGCCTTCTCTCCAGCCAGGGTGTACCCTGCACAGAGTGAGCTACCGGGAGAGGCTTCTCTTTGGGCCATGCCATCAGCCTGCAGTGTGTGAAGGACTGGGCTTCTGCCCGCTGCCCAAGTGCTCAGCACTCTGCATGCTTGTCTCTTCCCCCACCTGGCTCTGGCAGCTGGGTGGTCAGAAGAGAGAGGATCCTTTGTCAGCCTCAAATGCACCCAGGGGTGATCCCAGAAGCTGGGGCTGAGAAATGCCTGCCTAGCCTCTGCCCCTCCTCTGGCGGGTCTTTGCTGATACACCGGTGAGATGCTCAAGGCCTTTGCAAAAGTGGTATCTGTAGAGGGGCGGGACGGGGTTTCTCTCCCTTGTTCTGTGCTGGATCCTGCCAGTGAATTTGTGACAGGCTTTGGACAGCCAGAGCCCCATGGCCTCCTTGTGCACACAGCAAGTTCCTGGCGTGTCCTGTCCTTCACATGCTGAGGGGCAACGAGGAACAGGGCCTGGCACTGAATCCAGCCCTGGTGCAAGCAGCCCCCGCGTTGCTGTCTGCGTCCTTCCCCAGGCCCCTGGCTTTGCCCTTCAGCCCCTCCTGCTCCGTGGTGCCAGCTGCTTTCCCGCTAGCCTTTAGAGGGCTGGTAGAGGGGGGAAACGCTGAAGAACTGAGACAGGCCAAAATGGGCCCCTCGAGTGCAGCCCTGCGGGAGCCGGAGGTTAGATGGAGGGCCTGGGTCCACATTCGGGCCAACGTCAGAACCAGATCTCGGGCACCTGTGTTTTGGTCCCAGTTTGGTTCTCGCGGATAGGCCCGGTCTGATGTGATGAGACATCAGCGTTGTCTGCCTGGGGCTTACTTAGCCTTGCTCTAGCCCCCGGTTTAACTAATCTTGCATTGCTTTGAAGCCCAGGCTCTCCTGCCTTGGAGGGAAAACGATTTAGCTGGTGCCATTGCAGCCAGTCTGGAAACGCCCATTCTTCCCTGGTCTGTCGTGGACCTGGGAATGCCACTGTGAGCGCACCCCTCTTCCTGGCCTCGTGTTTTACCAGGAGCCTTGCTGGCCGGGCGCTCCCTGCTCCCCGCTCCCTGTCTTGGGGTAGGGGCCAGTACTGCACCCGCTTGCTTTGGTTGTGATGAGAGCTGCAAGGGGAAGCTCCAGGGGATCTGGGCCTGAGCTTCCCTAGGTGCTTGCAGCTTCTCCTAGTGTAGGAGATGCGTGCGTGTGGCTTTCTTGTCTCCCCGCAGAAGCCCCTGCATTGGTCCTTAGTTGAGCTCAGGAAGCCTTGTTATAGGGTCTGCCGTGGGGCCTGGCAGCACAGACCCAGGACTGCCTTGCCTGCAGAAACATCCGTCTCCCTGTCATGAAATATTCATGTCCGTCTCCAAACAGGCTGGAGCAAAGCAAATGGACGTGCCCCTCCCCCTGCCCCCATAGGCAGCTCCCCACACACAGGCAGTGCTGCAGGGAGGGTGGCTGCAGGCTCTGCTGCAAGGGCAAACTGGATTCTGGCAGCTGATCTCCAGTCTTTGAGGAAATGAAATAGAGAGAGCAAAAAAAGAAGTAGTGAAAGCCCCAGGCCTGGCTGTGAGACTTAACCCTTGCAGACTGGGAACGCCAGTGAGAGCCGGCGTGCATGCAGGGGTCTGGATGGGAAGGGCAGAACGGGACTCTCGGGGCTGCTGCAGATTCTGCAGCATTCATTCGGGCTGGGAGAGGTGCGCCTGGCTGGGACCCCACAAAGTGCAGAGGCCCCGCAGCGGACGCAGAGTGCGAGTTTCCAGCCTAGTGACAGGGCACGTAGCTTCTGCTGAGCCAGGAAGCACTGGGCCAAATTCAGCCCCGGTGAGTGGGTGCAGCTTTGACTGCACTGGGACAGCAGGTGACCCTGGCGGGGGTGCCTGGGTCACGCTGCTTGCTTCGGGGGGGCGTGTGCTCAACCCGACTGCGTGCTTGCTGCTACTCCTCAAAGGTTTTTCCATTCGGGGTGTTGTGCACATCAGCCCACCAACGCCACGCAGCCAGGGCAGGCCACTGCCCCGACTGACCACACAGTAGCAAGGGAAAGTTTGGCTTTGGGGCCTGGGACTCAGGTTCATTCGCTGCTCTCTAAAGACACCCTGCATGACTTTGGGCAAGCCCCTTCCTCCTTGTGCCTCAGTTTCCTGCCTGCGTAGTAGCTCTTGCCTCCTGGGGTAGCTGTGGACCTAAATGAATTGCTGTGGAGATGAGCAGGCACTGGGAGGGAGAGAGAGAGGGGCTCTGCAGTGGGTCTGCACTGGTTGGCAGCACGGGGAGGCCCTTGGGGCAGGAGACTGGCGAAGCTGGTGGGTGCAGGTGGCTTGTATTTTCCTCTTCATCCCCTTGACAATCCAATTTACACTCCCCTTTTCTTCCCTGGAATCCTGTTGTTACCATGGGAACTGTGTTCTCAGCTATGTTTCATTGGCTTCTGGAGAAACCCTTTTCTTTTCTTTTTTAACTTAATTCCAAGACTTGGGGCTGGATCATGTGGGGAGACCGGCTCAAGTGGGGAGTTGTGAGAATTGGAGGGGTATAGAGGCGAAACACTAGCTTCTGTCCATCCTAGCGATAGGATTTAAAACTTTATCAGGAAACATCAAAAATTATGGTTCTAGACATGGCTGTGTAGAGTTCGAGGAGATCCTTATAGGACCCCGTGCATAGTTGCTGCATGGGTACACAGGGTACACAATCTAAAGCATGCGGGTAGTCATGCGGCCTGTATTGGCTCCAGTGCCATGTGTGCTGGGCTAGAAAGAGAGGGAGGACCCCGTGCATGGCAGTGGCCCTTAGATGGTGGCTTTAACATGCAGCGTAGTTGTTGGGGTGGGGAATATTCAAGGTCTTTGTAGGTCTATGCTGTGTGTGTGGAGAGGGTTCAGTCCATCTGTCCTCTCGCTCTTGCTTTTAGTGGGTGGTCTTGGTCGGGTAGCTTTGTACTGGTAGTGGCCTGCGACATGCTCAGCATAGATGCCCCTTGACCGTTGGATGGTATTGAAGAATACCATGAGGCGCCTCATCACTTCTGCATGGCGGCAGGCAGTCTGCAGGCTCGCAGGCCACACTCCTTGCTTGGGTCCAAGCTCCAAGGACTCCAGCGATCAGCACCTGCACCTTCACATCAGATCCCTTCTCAGAACTGCATCCAGAGAGCCAGGGCCAGCGTCCTGGAGCCCTTGCTGTGACCCTCCCTCTCTGGCTGTAGAGCCTCCTCAGCCCTGGCCTGGAAGGACCAGGCTGCCGATAGTGGGGGGCGGGGGCTCGAGCTCATGGTGGGCTTAGCCTGATCCTAACTGGGATCTGTGGGTGCTGCCAGAGAGTCAGGTGTGATATGAGCAGGAGGAGGGAGGCAGGACTCCTGGGTCCATTCTTTGCTCTGCTTCTGACTTGCTAGGCAAATCCTTTCTCTGCTTACTTCCAGGTCCCTATCTGTAAAGTGATTACAATAAAGTGCGGTTGCTAAGTGCTTGGGATGCCTTTTCTGAGCTGTCATTGCCAGAGGGCATGGGAGAGTGCCCAGAGCGCCAGCTGCAAACCCGAGCTCAGCCCTTCACCTGCTGATGCAGGGGGTGAAGCAAGGATGTGGGACCCTCTCAAGGTCCAGCTTCTCCCTGTTCTGTCTAGAGGCTGAAACATTCTTCCTGAGCGCCAGGGTTTCCCATTCCCCTTGGCAAGTGGGCTGTCCCCTGGGGCTGTGCTGTGCTGTAGAAGTGGCTGCACTCCATGGTGCTTGCTGCCTGGGAGGTCAGGGGGCCTGGCTGTTCCTTCTGGCTCTTCGCTTGCTCCAGCTCAGCACCATGGTATCACAAAGCCAATCTTAGTGCAGGTAAGCACAGAACCCAGGTTTCCTGCGGGCACTGCCAGGGCAGACACCCGGGTCTCTGGATTCAGGGGCTTGGGGTGCTTTGGAGACGAGTGGTGTGTCTGGGATGTTAATGTCTTTGTTACTACCCCACCTGCCCCCTTGTGAGCCAGCCTCCCCTAGTATTGGTGTGTGGGAGTCCTGGGCCTTGCCCAGTAGAGGTAAGGGGTGGCCTGCAGCCTGCTCCTGCCGCACGTTGTTGGGCAGTGGGCTGGCTCCATAGCACAGCCCGTGGCAGCTGGGACCTAGGAAGAGCTTGCAGCAGTGGACTAAGACTCAAAACCAGCTGGGTGTAGCTTGGGTCTCCTTTTGCTCCTGCAGAGGGATCGGGGACATCAGGGGTGTGAAGGGTGACGTGGGACTCCAGCCCTTCCCAGTCCCTTAGACTTTGCCTTGCGCCACTTGGCTGACACCTGGCAGCAGAGGTCACGTAGCCACTGGGCCCCTAGCTCTGAACTGTGCAAGGGGCCAAGCTCGCTGCAGCTCCACGTGCTCTTAGGGAGCAAATTGGCACTGGCAGTGAATCGCCCCCATTCCCCAGCCCTCGGTGGGCAGGACTGGGCAGGGCAGCCCAAACCTTCCTGTTCTGGCCAAAGGCCAGTGGTTTCCTTCCCCGGCCGTCCCTGGGCTGGGCACTCACCTGCCCAGCCCAGAAGGGTGCTGCTGGTGCTGTGTTGCCCTCACGCTCCCTCCTACTTCCCCCTCAGGTCCTGCCTCTCCCCACGGTGTTTCCAGTCTGATACGAATGGGCCGCCAGGTGAAACGCTCCATGCTCGGCTGCCTCTGGATTCTTTCCATCCCACAGGAGCTGCCTCTTTCCAGAGACATTGCCAGCAGGCCTTGTGGCAGTTTCAGCTGGGGATAAGCATGACTTACCTTTGGCTCATGCAGGGATGTGCTCCAGGCTGCCTGTACTGGGCAGGGATGCCTCCTGCTGGTTGTGCTGCTGTGGGAACAAGCATTTTTCCAGGAGATGACTTCTAACTCTTCGCCCCTGGTCCAAGTCCCCTGGGAGTTGTATGCCTTTCTGCTGCATGGGGGCTGCATCCCCACGCCCTTCCTTTTATTGGGGTAACCCTAAGCTTTCTCCCCCCTGGCTGTCTGTGCCAGGTCAAGTTGGAAGCGACAGAGTGGGTACATTTTTTGGGTGCACCCTTGGGTCCTGTCTCTGGTTCGCAGACCGAGGCTGCGTCTGTGGCTGGTGCAGGCTGGTGACGTGTGCTGTCCAGTGCTTGCCTGTTGTTGTCAGCAATGAGGACTCTAGGCTTGTCTTTAACAGGATTAGGAGAGGCTTAGCTGGCAGGATTAACCTCCCTGACGAGCTGATTCCAGCATCTCTCCTCTCTCCACTGACCTGGCAGCTCCCTGGAGCGTCCTGCTCCCTCTCCCTGCAGTGTGGGAATGTCCACACCGGATTTCTGGGCAGGGTGTGCAGCGTGACTGCAGGGGAGTTGGTCCTGCACAGCGTTGGCCTCCCCTTCCACCCTGACACTCGTGGTCCTGCATCCAGGGGCCAGGAGATGCAGCAGAGCCCCGAGAGGTGACATGGTTGCTAGTCCGTTCTGGGCCGCCAGGTGGCACCCCCTGCCCCCCCTTTGCTCTCGCCTTGCTGCCTGCGCTGCCCTTGCTGTTGCCACATCTCCAGCCTGATGTCCTGCCACCTCCACCCGCCACCTCCAGCCCCAGCAGCTGGGTGGCAGCCACGTAGGAGCTGGGCTGGGCAGGCCTGGCCTGGGCTGTCTCCCCAGTCACCCCCTTCAGCGTTCTTGCTTGCTTCAATTCCTGCACCAGAACTGGCCCCAAAGCTAGAGGCCCTAGCGATGCCCGTGGCCACAGACAGCCCAGCCGCCTCTGTCAGGAGGTCAGGCAGCGTGTGGCAGCAGCAGGGAGGACTGAAGACATGGAGATGAGCCCCTTTCCTGCTGCCTTCTCCTTGCCTCCATGCAACCTGTGGCAAGTCTCAAGGAGGTTTCGGCCAAGTCACAAAGATGCTACCTGGGGTTTGTTTGCTAGGGGCAGAGGCCAGAGCTTCAGCGCCCTGCCTGAGGAGCCATTCCTGGGCAGCCCCAGGCTGAGAAGCAGCAGAAAATGTCAGAGCCCTCTTGCACCCGTCAGGAGTTTCATGCAGACCAGAGGTGTTCAGGAAATCTGGGCTACAAGCCCAGCACACATGCAGCTTGGCTTGGCGGAGCTGTCCCAAGGCTGGCTGTGCGACCCAGCAGACTGACTTAGCTCTGCTCCATTTTGGGGGCGGGTGAGCAGAGGAGGTCAGTAAGCAGAGGAGGATAAAGCAGAAGTGAGAGTGGAGGAGAGCCTGGAGCAACCCATGAGGAAGCGGACAGCCAACAGAGGGGCCAAGTAAGAGAGAGGGGTGAGCTGGCAGTGAAAGCATGGAGGAGGGAGAGAGGAGGCGGGTGCAGGCAGGGGGCTGAGGGCGGGTTGCCTCCAGCATCAAAGGTGAGCCCCAGGGTTGGCGCCATGGGTCACTGGCCCAGTGCTGGCAGTGCTGTACTCAACCCCCAAGCCGGGCACTGCTGATGCCATGTCTCGCTGGTCCTAAAGGCTGTGCAGATGCAGAGACTAGATTTGAGTTTACGCGGGGCAAGGCCCAGGACCCTGGGAGGCAGGGAGGTATGGCAACAGCAGTGGTGGGAGGAGAGACGCAAGGTCTTGCTCAAACCGTAGTAACAATGCAGAAGAGAGGAGAGTCCTCTGCTCTCTGACCAGTGGTCAGGCAAGCCTTTCTGCCCAAACTATGCAGGGAAGTGAGTACTGCACTGTGGAGCAGAGCCTGGCAGTGTCCTATCCCTCACTTGGTTTTCAAGCCTAGGCCTGGCGCACAGAGCTAGTCACACCTGGCTGGGCTGAAGCTATTCTTGCTGCTGGTGACTGGCCACATGTTTCAAGTGCTGGGTAAAGTGAAGTTTCATAATTTCATAGCAGCTAGGGTCAGGAGGGACCTGAACAGATCATCTGGCCTGACCCCCTGCCACAGGCAGGAATGAATGCTGGGTTCACAAGACCCCAGACAGGTGATCGTCCAACCTCTTTTTGAATTTATGCAAGGTAGGGGCGAGGACCACTTCCCTGGGAAGTTGGTTCCAGATTCTGGCCACCCTAACTGTAAAATATCACCTCCTGATCTCTAACCTAAACCTTATTCTCCATCAGCTTCAGTGACTGTCCGGAAACGGGCTGCGTGGGTCTGGTGCTCGGGGTGCCAGTAGCGGGTACTAAAGGATGGTCAGGAGGAGGGTGTAGGCTCCATTGCCTGCAGCGACTCAGCCCAGGGTTCCTCTGGAGTTGAAGGCTGGGCCGTGAGTGTGGGAGAAGCAGGGGGACCGGGTATCGAGGCTTCTCAGGCTCTACAATCACCTCTGCCTCTCCCTGTGGCCTTGGTAAGTCGCCTGTGCACCCACATCAGTGCCTGCCAGGTAGAGCGGGAGTCAGTGCTGTGCGCATATCTGTCTGCGTGCCCAAGGCATGTGTCTGTCTCCCCACTGGATTGTGCAGTGTGCGCGCGCGAAGGTACATGCGTACAGACGTGCGTGACGGCATCGTGCCTGTTTGTCTAGACCCCGTGTGTCACCGTGTGCACGTGGCATTTGTCTGTCCGCGCATGGGGTGTCCCCCAGGTGCATACTGGGCTCGAGCTGCTGCAGGAAGCCGGGCTTGGTGCTGCTGCGGGAGGGGGAGCTCAGGAATGTAATCCCAGCCAGCCAGACAGTCACCCAGTGCCCAGAGCCTCTGCCCCGGGGCGACCCCCCGCGCAGCGCTTGGCGGGGGGGGGGGGGGGGGGAGTGGAGCCATGCGTGTGTCAGTCCTGTCCCTGGCTCCCCCATCCCTGGAGCCTGCCTTCCTCTCCTCCCCATGCCCTGGGGCACCGCTGCAGCCAGCAGGCAGGATGCACCCTGGAAGTGGGGCAGGCAGGAGGCATGTCTGCCTGGCAGGCTGGCCCCAGCTGCCTGCCTCCCTTATTTCGGAGGGGGGATCTGGCTGGCTTTGTGTCACAGAGACGCTGTGATTTCAGAGCCAGCCCTGCCTGCTGGGTTTCTCTAAACCCTCACTTGGAAGGAAGGAGCGGTATCAGGATAAGAGTCCTTCCCACCCACCTCTCGCTGCCACCTTCCCTGGCTCCCCAGACAGCCCAGGCCCTGGGTGGTGGTGGTGGGAGGTGCTGTCTCTGCTGATTGCTGCATTTATCACACTGGTGGCCTTGCTAAATGCTTTAACCCCTTGCTCGCCACTGGCCTCACTGCACTGTGGCTGGGTGTGCTGACAGCAAAGCCTTGTCAGCGGCTGCCCGAGCAGCATTGTCTGCTGCCTGCGCTCCGGTCCCGTTGCCTGGGCTGGGGCTTCCCTCCGGCTTCTGATGGTCCCAGGGAACATGTGCCACGTGCCTGGGGTGGGAGAGCCAGCTCCCTTCTCTTCTGGGCAGAGGCAGAGCTAGGTTCCCCTGGCTTGGATCTCAGTGGCTTGTTAACTGTGTTGTGTGGCTGCGGGCTGGTTGCCGCAGCGGGCATCGCCAGCTTGTCAAGACCAGCGGTAGCCCAGCAGCAAACAGGCCAGCCCTGGGGCCAGAGGGATCAGGACCCACTTGCCATCCATCCCCATTCCTCTTTGGCAGTAGAGTCAGCGTGAGAGGAAGCGGGTGTCCTGCCTCCCAGACTAGCTCTCTCCTTCCAGCACATGGCTGCTCTGTGCAGGCCCGTGTCACTGTGGGTGTCCTGCACATTAGCACAGCAGAGCATGCAGCAGGGGCCTTGGCTGCAGCCCTGCCTAGGGCCCCCCCACAGCCAGTCCTGCAGGAGGTGGCTCACAATACGTCTGGGATCACAGCAGGGCTAGTGCTTTGTAGACCTGATGGAGTGGGGCAGAGAGACTAGATGACCAAGGCTGTGTAGGATTCCTGTTGCACTGGCTGGCATGGATGAGGAGCACGTGCAGGGCTGGCACTGAGGGAGCAGAGGCAGGGTTGTGGCAGCAGAGACACTGGCTGGGCACGTGGGGTGTTGCTGGCACTGCAGCCACACAGGTGGCAGCTCAGCGTTCAGGTGCCTGGCATGGGGGCAAGGCTGGCGCCGGTCAGAAGCTGCCCAGTGACCGCAGGGCACACTAGTGTGTGCTGCTCAGCTGGTGGGATTTCCCCCTCTGCCACCTCAAGCCAGGACCAGGCATTGTCTCAGAGCTGCAGCCCCGGTGAAACGCCTGCAGCTTGGGGCATCAGAGCTGTCTCAGTGGTCAGAGCAGGAGCCTCGGCCTCTGGATTCCTGGCTCTGTCCTCAGCCCTGGGGGATAAATGAAGAACAGAAGCCTGGGGCCATTCCTGGCTTTGCTGCTGACTCCCTGGGTGGCCTCAGCCATCTCCTTTCTGCTCCCCAGGCCCCCTTCAGAGAGGGGCAGGATTTTGCCCAGATGAAGCTGGGGTGGTTAATGAGCTAGTGTTTATGAAGCGGAGGGAGGGCCTGCCATGAAGGGAGCTATAGAAGCCAAGACAAGACCTTCTTGGCCCTTTCCAGTTCCATCTGGCCAATGAGGACAGGCTGCCCGGGCAACTGCAGAGGTGGGGTAGGTAGCACAGACCTCTTGCAGCTGGATACCGCTGGCTGCTTCCCTGCTCCGACTCTAATGAGCACATAATGAGGGAGCCCATTCTTCCCTGGCCACCCAGAGGCTGCTGGATTGGGCACAGACCTACCTTTATTTGGGGCCTCTGTGAGGCTGCCTTTTCCCCCGATACAGCAGCCTGTGGTACCTTTATGAACTAAACAGGAATGAGACAGAGCCCTGGGGGCAGGCTGGCAGGGTCTGAGGGGAGCCCAGGGGGTGACGGGCAGGGCTGGGGACATGGGCTGTGTGACCCCGGGGACCTGAGGTGAGTGGGGAGGGGCTGGCAGGCACAACAGCCTCCTCCTTCCCCCTTTCCCTTCTCACCCTCCAGCCTTTGCCTTCTTTGCAGCAGCTCTGTTCCCTCTGGAGGGTGGCATGTGGATGGACAGGCAGGGGCAGAAGTGAGCGTGTGGTTAGATGTCCTGGCTCATTATAATACGCCTGATTCCTTCCAAACTCGCCATTCCACAGGTGTTAATGACCCTGTCTCCTTTTTAATAGTTTTTAGTGGCTCCACTGATAGAGCTGTCCTTTGTTCTACCCGCCTGCTCTCTGGTAGCTAGCTGCTCCTGGTAAAACAGCTCCTGTTTCACAGCCTTGCAGCCTGCTTTTCACTCCAGCTACAAACATTAGCTCCGGTGTGGAACTAGCTTTCAGTGCAGCATTGGATGCACTGTCAAGATGCTCCAGGCGGCTAGATTTAGTTTTATGAATCTGGAAGAGCAGTACATTTAATGCCATTGACTACAGAACTACTGAATTGTCTCTAGAGTATTTTTGCCTAGTTTGTGGTGTTTTTATACATAAGATTTGATGTAGCAAACTAATGTACGTTCCAGTAAAGTTCCATTTGATTTTGCTTCTATCCTCAACTGAATGACAGCCTGAGGCCCCCAACCTGTTAGTAAAGTTTCTAGTTCCTTTTTAGCGGGAGAAAAGTGTGCATTGTGGTACCTGTGAGGCTGTGATGAGGCACCACACTATCTGCACCCCTTTTCAAAATCCTAGGTTTGCTGGATCAAAATCCTAGCCATGTGCTGGACATGGCTCCGAGGCTGATGCCATGTGGTGACACACATGCATCCTGAGCACATGGAACCCCACAGGGCTTAGCCCTGGCTGTGAGCAAAGGGCTAGGCTATCCTTGCCTGCCCTGCAGCCTGTGGACCCACTACCACGTGGCCCAGGGTGCTGCCAGCTGGTACTTTCATCCTTGAATGCAGCGTGCCAAACCACGCATGGGCTGCAGGGCTGGCACCTTATCCTGCCCCAGTGCCTCATCTGCACACTCTCTTCTCCAGGTCTCCACAGGATGCACCTGGGTTTGGGGAGGGATGTTGGAGACGTTGCCAGGTGTCTGTGAGTCATGTAATTAATTCCAGTGTGGTTAATTGGACCTAACTAATCATAGTCATAAGTATAACAAGGGGTTTTCCCACAGGTACGTAGGGGCTATTAGGGTGGGAGGGCTCAGTAAAAATGAGAGAACCTGATAGCATGGCTTGGTTTTGTAGAACTGATCTGAAGGCTACTTGGGATCCCGGTCCCGTTTATCTCAGACTTGGTGTAGGCTTCCACCCCTGGAGTCGAGGTGGAAGTAGTTTGTCCCTTCAGCTTAGTGGCAGATGTCAGCTGCACCCACTGCTTTGCCCCATCCTGTTCCCAACTGCATCTTCCTGGCATGCTTAGCCTCAGCTCCTGGCCTGAGATATTTCACAGTGCATGGTGAGGGGTCTCTGGGTTTACTTCACAAATGTTATTTGCACAGGTTGACCCAAACCCAACTGGGATCTAAGCAGCCTTGCAGCTGGGGAAGTTCCAAATCTGGGTCTGAACGTTGCAACTTGGGCCTGTGTCTTCCTTTTACCAAATGTTGGAAAGGGCCTTTGAAGAGCTGAGTGTTGACTGTAGCCAGTTGCGCACCATGGAAGCCAGCACCCTTTTCCCAAGGAGCAGTGTAGCACAGCTGTGTCTCCAGACTAACCCACTGAACACAGATGCAGACTAAAGCACAAATTGCCATGTGCATCACCTTTTTTTAAAACTGCTCCCAGGCACTTTCAGGCAAGAGGAAGACAGCATCTCCCTCTGAGCCCAGCTTATCCATTCTGAAATGATTGTCTTTTCTGTTGCTCAATTAATTCCGATGCAGATACATGTGGAAGAGCACCCAGCCAGCTGTGCTTTTCTCCATTGGTGGGTGCACATGGAGATCCTGTAGATTTGTGCTTACCTGCCCCAGCACCAGCTGGTGTGCTGGGGTTAGCACCAGGCCAGGTTAGAGATGGTCACTCCATGATCCTCTGTGGCTCTGGCTCTGGCTCTGGAGCGGGGGCGGGCACTGCTTGCTGGTTCCAGTCCAGCCCTATGGCAGCAGCATGTGATGGTTGTCGTTTGCTGACTGCTGTTTGCTAGCCCACAGGCAGCTGGTGCGGGGTCTTCGTCAGGGTTGTCACAGTGGTCCTGGCTCAGGCAGGCAGGGTGCGGTGCCGTGCTAGCTGAACTCCCTCCCCACTGGAGGCTCTGCTGGGGTGGGGGGTGGGAGGGACCTGGTGCTAGGACAGCTTGAGGAATCTGTTGCTGGCGATTGAGTGCAGGCTCAGTCTCTGGCCCTGAATTCTCTGGAGAAACAAGCAGGGAAAAATCCCAGGCAGCCTGAAGGCAGGAAAGCCCCGCGTGCAACAGAAGCAGGTAGGAGCCGGTCTGGGCTGCTTGGCCGCGGGCTCATTAACATGCTGATATACCAGGCAGCTCCTAGAACGAGCTGCTGGGATTTGTTGTTGTTGGCACGGGGAGGCTTTGAGCTCCAGGGACCGTCTCTCCTGGTGTGGGCGTAATGACAGAGGAGGGGAAGGGGAGACGGGAGTCAGAGTCAAGTGCAGGAAGGGCGCTTGCCCAGCAGATGTTAATTAAAGACAGGCTCTGCAGCGGCTGGTCCTCCTGCTGACCTTTCCCAGCCTCGTTCTGTTGCTTTCCTGTGCACACCCAGGGAGAGATCAGGGGACTGATGTGGGGAGCCCAGGGGGAGGTGGCTGGAGAACAAGGGCTCAGCACATCCCCTTTGGCCTGGGCCAGTTGTGCCAGACGGCAGCACTTCCATTAACACTGTGTGTGCCCGGCAGGCCATGTCGTGTTAGGGGGTGGAAACCTCTGCTGCTGGTGCTGGCAGCCAGTGGGCCTGCCCATGTGCAGACCTTCAGGGGTAGCCTGCTCAAATAGGCTTCCAAGGTGCATTTGGCTAAGGGGGTGGTGCTCCAGCTCTGAGCCCTGGCCTTTGGCACGGCTCCTGCCCCTGCGAGGAGTCGCTGTGCCAGCTGGAATGAAGGAGCGCTCTCTGGGTACACCATCTGAGCCCAGCCAAGCAAGGTGACGCGTGGGAGCACCACAGCACGGTGGGAACCGCAGAGCGAGTGAACAGACTGGAGGTGCTGGATTGGCAGTGGATGGGCTGTTGTAAAGCTGCATCTCCCCTGCCTTTCCCCACCTCTCCTCCCGTGGACTTTCACGTGCATCTTAACTCAGACTAGAGATTTTTGTGTGGACGGGAGCCGGATAAGGTCAAACCCCAAGCTGCGGCTCAGGATAACAGCAGGGAGTGGGGCTTGAAGGGTGAGCTGACAACCACTTGCTTAGGTGTCTCTATCACGCTGGGTCTCCGTTTCCCTGTCTGTTACAAAGAGGGGGGCTCCAAGCACCTGGGGATCTTCTGGAGGCAGGTGCTGGGGCAGGCCAGCTTTGCTGTTATTTAGCAGTGGCTAGAGGAGTGCCTGTGTTTGCCTGACTCACAGCCAAATAGTCCGCTCTGTCTCCTCCAGCCTCTCTGCTGGTTGCCCAGGGGGGTGAAGTCACAGGGCGTGTTGGAAGAGACTTTCCGAGGAGAACTCTGGTCGTTTCTGTTTGGGTTTGGGGAGCGATGCCTGTGTCTCTTCCCTCCCCCAGCAGTCTCCTGGCTGCAGTAACTGAAGTTTGCTTTGCTAAGTTCTGCATTTGGATCTCACACTGATTGTATTTATTCATGCTGCCCCAGCTCACTCTGTACCAAAAACGCAAACACAACCAGAGGAACAACTTAGCCTCAGTAAATATGATTTGTCACATGTATTACATTGCTTCCTGCTCCTGCCTGGGGAGTGCAGGCAGTGATTTATTTTTTTTCACTTTTTAGGGGACAGTGTGGATGTTAATATAACACCCCTCCCTGGCCACAGGTAGTGCACTCGCATATTGTCATCTGCATATCTGATGAAGTCCATGTCCAAAAACACACTGTGGACGTTGCTGTGGTCTAGCGATGAGTTGGGGAGCAGCAGGCAGGACTTCCGGGTTCTCGTCCCAGTGCTGACTTCAACCTGTCTTTTCTCACTGGTGCTGAGTTTCCCAGGCTGTGACATGGGATTTGTACCGGCTTCTGTCTCACTTCGTGGCTAGCCCCTGAGAATTTCGACGTGGCAGGAGCTGTTGAGGAAAGGCAGGGATGGTGGGTGCCACACCTCAGTCCCAAGAGGCCCAGAAGAGCCTGTTGCTTTCACGCTTGCCTTAGTGAATTCAGTCCTTTGTGACGCTGGGGCTCGAGGAGGCACCTTGAGCAGGGCGATGCTTCCCCTGGGAGAGGCCCTGCAGTGCCCCTGCCCAGCTGCTCTCCGCACAAGCTCAGGGCGGGCACCCTCCACGAGGGGGCAGTGCTGCACGTGCACAGGCCGTGCACGGCAGCCCCACAGCCACGGCCCCTCTGCCCAGGCCACCAGGGCCCTGATTCTGTCACAAGCGTGAGAGCCAGGAGCTGGGAGCCCTTGCCCGCCCAGAATCCTTGAGCCTCTTGGCCCCTGCCAAGGCAGAAAGCAGCTGCGTCACTTGCTTGCTGTCCCTAGTACACAAAGTCCCGTGCCAGCAAGAACTGCACCAGGCCTTTACAACTCAACATGTACGAGAAAGTACGGGAGGTCTTTCTGTTTGCCTTCTGGTTCCTGAAATGATATGGTGGGCCAGCCCCCCATTGCCACCCTCTGCTGGGAGCCCGAGGTGTGCCCCGGCCTGCTGGCACTGCCTCCAGCAGCAGCTCTGAGTGCTGCAGAGGAAGCCACTGTACCCAGCGCTGTGACGCCGCACAGCACAGCACAGCACCAGAGCGGTCCTGCAGAGAGCTGGCTTGGCCGTGCTCCTTTGTGAGTCCTCCCCACTGCACCCAGGGACCTCGTGCTCCTACAGCCACAGCCAAGACCAGCACTGCTCTCTGCAGCGCCCATGCAGGCTTTACTTCTTTCTTACTCCAGCCAGTGCAGCCCACATAGGCAGCCTGAAAGGACCTGGGCCCACCAGCTGCAAGGCTGCCCCCGACTTGAACCTCTGCTCACTAGAGGCCAGTTTTGCTTTCTTGCTGTGTCATTCCTCCCTGCTGGCCGTGACACAGTTAAAATGCAGAGGGCTGTGGTCTTTCTCTCACACACTCTCTGTGGCCGCTGGCATGCATGCACATTCGAACAGAAGGGAAAGGTGTATTTTCATTTCCAATTAGGGCTGCTGCTTCCCATCGCCTGAGATTGATTGCTTGTCCCTGGATCCCCTTTAGCTCTGCGATGCTTTAAGAGGCTGCCAAGTGGTCCCTGCCTCTAGCCTTCTTTCTCCTCAGCCCACCTTGAACAGTTAGTCCACTGCAGTCGGGAACGTGACACGTCCTGGTTAGGATGCTGCTGGCATCATCTGAGAGCGGGTGAACTGGCTTAATAGCCTAGTGAGTGTGCATTTGTACAGCTTCCTTCTGCTTGCAGCAGCAGGGGTGTGGAGGGCCAGGCAGAGAGCGCACACAGCCAGCTGTGTCCTTTCTGCTGTATCAGGCGTGCCTTTTCCAGCAGCAGACTCCCAGATGGGCTAAAGCTTCTGAGGTCCTTGTCATCCACTACTGGGAGGCTGTATGCCTGCCACCCCTGCATTCGAAGTGGACATTATTTCTGTCTGAGCATATGCCCATCTGCTCTTGGCTCCGGTAGTACCTGGGCTCTCACAAACTCTGACCCGTAAGGAGACTCCTGCCCTTATGGGAAGGGGTTTGATGCACATCTGTGAAATGTTTGAACATCTCGCTTGTACTTGTTTGAACTCTCCCTGGTTCAGACAGTGACAGCCCTGTGCAGGAGGTTGCTCCGCTCCTGATCAGGAGGTGCAGCTGTTAGATCCTGGAGAACAAGGTGTTCTAGGAATACCCGTGGTAGGTCTTGTTAGACGAGGAGGATGAGTAAGGCCAGGCCACCCTGGGGGGTTATACTGGGTGCTAGGAGGGATAGGAAGCCAGGTGTGATTTCAGTGGGAAGCATTGGCAGCATGTCCCCATGTGTACAGCAGGGGTGGGCAGAAACTGCCCTACATGCAGTGTGAGGGCTTCGAGGAAGCTGGAATGGCAGTGTGGAGGCACAGAGGGCAAGACACGAGAGGCCAGTGAACGCGGACAAAGTGGTCAGAAAGGCATCTGCTGTGGGCAGAGCTGAGAGGAGAGAGCCTTAGAGCCCAGGGCGGGGGCAGAGCGGGTACCTGGGTAGAGGATGGGAGCGGGCCTGCCAGGATACAAGTGCTGGGGTCGGGGCGAGTAGAGGGCTCCTGGAGCTTTGGCAGAGGAGCCTCCTCTTTACAAGCAGCAGGGTTTTGATGTGGGATTTGTTAAGATGCATGGATGGAGGTGGGCGCTGGAAGCAGAGAGACGAAATGACTGAGGCTGTGATGGGGAGTAGTCCAGGGCACATGCACGTACTCCCAGACACGTGCACGGGGTATGGGCTGGTGCTAGTTTGGGCAGCCCAGCTGTAAGCATGCTCCCAAGTAATGCTTGTGGCATGCGCTACTTGTGGGGCCATGTATGTCACTAAGCACCCGAAGAGATGCCGGAGCGGGAGCATCCCGGCTCTGTTCTTCCCTTGTAGTGAGCTCTCTGTGGGGGTGCGCGTCGTTTCATGCTGAGCTGCAGGCGCCAGGGTCCTGCCGTTGGTCCTGCAGGATGTGGATGCTTACACCCGCTGCTGAACGGCCCAGCAGTTCAGGTAAAGCACTTGCTGTGACTCCATCAGGAGTCTCCACTGCTACTTGCAAGTGTTCAGCCCTCTTCCCCCAGCACAGCCGGGAGCTAGGATCTGGCCCTCAGCAGCCTGTGGCTCAGCCCGAGTCTGCTGCGGGGTCTGGCAATACCTGCCCTGTCCCGAAGCTGAGCTCAGGGGCCGTTGTGCGTGGGGGTGCAGCACGAGACGCTTGATGCTGAAGCCAGTATTTCTGCGCTACGCCTCCCCGTCTGCTCCTTCTCCACGCAGGTGGAGGCAGCAGACGTTCTGCTGCGAGTCGCTGCAGCAGGTGCAAAGGAGATCATCTTTTCTAGAGACTTCCTTCTGTTTTGTTATTTCCTTCTCTAAGAGGGGAGCGACTCTAGGCTGGAAGTTTCCATTTTGCTGGTGGTGCATGGAGGTGTCGCCATCTTGGCCGCGGGGCCACGGGGCCCAGGCCAGCGACGCTCGCTCGGCGCAGAGCTGGAGCGTGGCAGCCCAGCCCCTTGCGCGGGACTCAGGAGGGCCCGGCCCGGGCAGGTGCACGCGGCAGAGCCGGCCTGTTGTGGGTGCGCCCCGCCGAGAGGGAGAAGGGCTGGGCTGCTGCGCGCCCGGGAGCCCCGGCCCGCGG